TTGACCCCATTCACACCCTCAGTTAATGCAAGACAGTCTTGGATTCTGGATTCTACACTATGGGATCTGAACTCCAGGTACTGGATCCTGGATTCCTTAAGTGAAACTTGGATTCCGGATTCCAATCATTAGTGGGATTCCGGATTCTTTGAGCTGGATTCCTGAGAGTCGTTACCTCTTCCCAGGAGACAAAATGGCAACTGACCTACATCTCCTCAACGGAGGAGTACCAATTCATGCTTCCAATGTTTGATTTGTGGCGCTACTGTCCGGGATCCGGTTGTAAGTGTGGATGCAGCGCTTATTTGAGGGCGGCGCTCATCTACGTTTTGTTTGTAATGCAGTTCGCCACGTTATGTAAGGAAATTCATGAAATGTTGACTCGCCCATGGTAGGTCAGCGGTTAGGTGGGTAACCCTTCAACCCGGGACAACACATAAACAGGGCCAATGAAAACACTACAAAAGATATGGAATGTGAGTCTTGCTGGGTGAATAATGGACAATATCATTAGCGTAGCGCGTTATTAACAAGATGTCTGTGCAAATCAAGTTTCATTAAACAATATAATGCACTGAATGAAACCAGACTCTGGTTCCAGCCTCTCAGATAGTAGGAATGACGCGTGAAAGACTCACGAAAATATGAGCGCAGGACTAAGAAAAAGGGGAAGGGCGAAGGCGCTGGTGCGGCCCTTCCTCTCTCCAGTTTACCCCCATTTTCGTGTTTGCGCTTTCTCAATTTGTGGACTCGATTATCTCGGAGCCTTGAACAGTCTAAGGGTGTAACGGAATAAATTCAACAATAACAAATGCCGAGATTACTGGGCTGAGATAATTTATATGATTCGCATGAATTAGCAAACATTAAGACAAAATGACAAATGAACTATGAGATGGAGCAAATGCAAAACAAAAAGGATAAGACTAACAGAAATAAATGACTCTAAGAGAAAGCCCGGGGGGAGCAATGCACACCGGAATTTCAAGGTACATGAATATTGTTTCTGTAACATTTCCCTTATTTCTTTACTTAATTAGAATACTTTCAAACGATAAGAAAAAGAGATTTTGCAGAAATTCTAGAAAATTTTCCGGCTGCCGGCATTTAGTTTTTTCTGAAGACCCTTCCCGTCAGCGAAAAAAAAACTATTTCATCAAATTTGCCCGGTATATTCGAGAGAAATCTTCTTCAGGGGTTTTTCTTTGAAAAATACTAAAACTAAAGACTGAGAGCTACTGAGAAGCTCTGAGAGTGAATTGGAAATCAATCTGGAGAAAGACAGGGAACAGTCTTTCATTCGAAATGGCGTCGTTCAACTCGTTGGTGCTTCTCGTTCCACCTCGGCAAGTTGTATTTTTTTGCTGAGGTTGTTGAAGATTTCCAGCATTGTACGGTAGGACCACTGTTTTAAATAGCTCAGGTTCGATAAGTGTTAACTTGGAATAAAATCTGATCTAACTCTTTAAACCACAAAATATGGCAGGCATCTTAATTAGCGCTGGCATCATTATTCATGAGCGAGCTGATTTAGTAAAATTCCTCTGAGAAATAGAGGGTGGATTTATTTGCAACCGTATACGCGTATAGCTGTCGCATTTGTCCACTGGAATTTTTTTTATTGTTTTTAGGCTTAAAACCAATAAAACATTCCAGCAGGCAAATTATCTTTATCCAGTGGCTTTTCTGAGGGGCTTTGACGGTTGACGGTTAGTTTTTAATTTCCAAATATTCATTCAGATACAAGCAGGATGTAAGGTCTTGTAATGTCTGGAAAGAGTGTTTTTTGAGAACATGGGAACTGGTCTCTCCAGTTAAGAGAAGAGATTCTTCAGGAGCCAGAATCTTGTGAAGTTACAGTGAGATATGAAATACTTTTAAACTCTTTGACGGTTTATCTTTCTTGCAATTTTGACGGTTGGGAGTAAAAATAACCTTTTTATTCGGTTTGTTAGGGTACAGTTTTGCTCAGGCCGCTTCATTGTTTGCGCTTCTCTTCGTAATCATTAATATTTATTCAGTTTATTCTATTTATTTGGGTGTTGGGCATTTTAACTTTATTGAGGGATATATATTATATAAATAAATTTGTTTTAGGTCGGTTCGGAATCAAAAGTTCCACCATATCGCAAATATCTTTTGTTAAGAGACAAAGGATGGTGTTTATATTACAAGCTATCAGAACAGCTGGACCGCACACTTTAGATTCCAATAGCAAACCTTTGCTGGTCACTCCTTGGCTAAAAGATTTTTGCACCGACCTCTTTGGTGTTGGGATCAATCAAAAAATAGAAGTTGGACGCACGGTTAATTGTAGGAAACATTATAAGTGAGTGTAGTTTCAGTCTTTCACAATTAAAGGTTTAACTGAGGTTAAGAAACACCTCTTCAAGCTTATTTAAGAAACACAAAAACAAGTTCGAAAGATAGAAATAATTACTTCCCTTGGTGGATGTATTCAGCTGTGGAATGGGTAAATAAGCGTTTCCTGTTAACGAAGTTCGTCTGTTTAAACCCGAAGTTAGTTCTCACTTTCGCTTCCAAACTTGAATCACTTTCAGATTTCCTTATCTCATTAAAATCTTGTCAGTGGGGCCGTGCGACCTAACACCTTTTAAGTCCTTTGTTCTCAGTTGGGCTATTCTCAGCAAAAATTCACTTATTTTCTTACTTTCAAACTAAAATTTCTTTCGATAGAATCTTAGGAAAATTTTCTTTCTTTCAAACCATGGTTTTACCTTCTTGTATAGGAATTTGGCTAAAGAGATATTTTCAGTTTGGCAAATTTTTTCCACACGCGGCTGAATTCATGTATCTTTTGTTCTATCAGTTCTACCACCTCCTAACACCTATTTTTACGCATAAGAATACTATTGACCTTTCTTAGAAACTACTTCACTTAATAGTTTAGTATAAATACAACCACTTTGTGAGCTTAAAAAGCTTGAAAAATCTTGGAACCGCTAGAAGAACTAAGAAGCTCAGGAATAAACTGTTGTTCGACTCAACTTCCTGTGTACCTCGAAACTCTCAAAATCTGTATCCTTACAGGTTGAAGCTTAGGCTGTCTGACGGGTGATTGTTGACTCCGGTATTGAGACCCTCTTATCAGCTTTGAACAACTGGGGCCAGGCTCAGCCAGGCTGTTTACACACTGAGGCGTTTTTCTTTTTATAACCAAACTGCGCCGCAGCTCCTCTTGCGCAGAAAATTCCGCAATAACGTTTTTTTTTTCAGGGCAGGACTAGCTATAGAACGGTAATGCTCCCCTGTAATTGAATAGTTCTCATTTCAACACTTGCAAAATTTAAAGGACCTTACAGTAGCTTTTGTGGGTGCCCTGTGCAAAAGGCAGCGTGGAAAGGAAAATCATATACGTCGGTGTTAAAGTCCACTGTAAGAAATACCCGGGGGACCCCTTCTCATCGGCTCACCGCTTATTTCTTCTCGGGATATGACTATAGTAGATGAGCGAAACTTAAAAAAATAACTTAGAAAGACAGAAAGTCAGAAACTTACGATCTAGCCTGAGAAAACAGCCGACATTTCGCAACGCCACCACTGGTTTTCTTAGGCTAGTGGCGGGGGGGGGGGGAAGGGGAGCACAGGCTACCTACGATCAAACATTTCTCCGTTTCATTATCTTCCTTTCAAAAGTAAAGGGGAGGAAAAACCGCTTTCGATCCTTCCCGCGGGTTATTCGGAGGAGATCTCAGGCTTGATGGAAGTATCGCGAGAATTTGCAAGAAATCCGTTATGCCTCTCCCGATTATGGGACAACAGCAGCGAATTAGCCACTGCTCCTTGGGCATGTATGACACGATCATCATCCACCGGTTTTGCAATGTGTGGTGTCCCACAAGTCGTTTCGGCTCTGCTGCTAATGCTTCCGGCTGAAATCGAAAGTGTTTCTGTCGCGTCGAGGAAGTAAACCACATTCTTCGTTCGTTGAAGTTGGTTTTGATCCACTTTATTGAAGATTTCCTACATTGTAAGGTAAGATCTTTCTTTTAGATAGCTTAGCTGTGTGAGGTAAATTTACAATCTTGCCCAACAACACAAAATTACTAGCACGCGACAGACGCAATGATGCAGGCCATCAGTGATTCAGGCACGTAGGCGTTCTTTCCGCGTTGATCTGACTCGTGCATGCATCTAAAAAAGAAAACCAGTAGAAAAACATGTGTCTACTCGGCAAGATCATTCAGTAGGAGAGTAGTAGTCTCCCTTAGTCTATCAAAGCGAAAAGTGTTGATCGTTAATACATTGTTCGAGGTTGCTAATTACATAAGCGTAATTTGAGCTGAACGTCTGGGCCATTTGATTTTACTACAGTTAAAGCATTCCACCTTCCAGCCCAGAGGGAATGCCAAAAAAACACTCTTGGACTGAAACCTTTTATTTTCGTAGTTTTATCATGGTACATTTAATAATTGTGGCAATTAGAACCATTTTGGGATTAATTAGTGAGTCATTAATGGCTTCCCGTTTGAGGTAATCCAAGGAATTTAAAGCCCGATTTGCATGACAAACTTTTAGGGCACCCCTTTACATAGCCTGAGAAAACAGTCTACATTTCATTACGCCACCGGTGGTTTACCCTCTAGATGAAGTCTGAGAAACAAATGCAGAAATTCCATACTGATGACGAGTCATGATGCATCGCCACAAGTAGCCCATGCTCGAGATATGAGCATTGGCAAACATCGGCGTTGTTGTGTAACATTCGAAATATAAGGATTTGTATGGGAAAAATCCTATCGTTTCTGTAACCTACAAAAATGAGAGGATTTCAATAAAAAACAGCTTACCGGAGACTGGTGTCGAAGCCGACCATGGCGGACGTGTTTCAATCGCTCTGTTAAAATTGCTTCGCCTTGGTCCCGAATAAGGCCATTTCTCACAAAATAATAATTCAGTAATGCCTAAAAACAAACCAAAAATATCCTGCGAAGCTTTCAAAGAAAAAAAAAATGAAGCGTACACGCGAAGGAAGCTGACAAACAGACGAGGCTGTCTTCGAGGACGACAGCCATAGCTGCCCAAAATGCAAGTCAACAAATGCTCGTCTCGCTGGGATTGATGAGACGCTTGAAAGACCACTAAAGTTAACAGATGAAGTTGAAACCTACAAGAGCGGAGTTAAATCCCTCGAAGATGAACAGAAAAGCAAGCAAGAAAGTCTCCAAAGTTCTCAAACTGAGATAAAAGAAGTGTAAGGTTTACAAGATAACATCGCTGAACAACAGAAGACCACTGAAGCTTCACTTCAATGCATCCAATGTGAACTCGCCGAATTGCAGCGCCGTCATATTAAATTAGAGTGTCACAGCCGCAGAGGTAATTTGAAATTCTATGGAATAAAAGAACGCGAGCATGAATAGACACAGAAGATTATATTGAGGAAATTTTTACGTACCGACTTAAAGGTCCCTAAAGAGGACAAGGAAAGTATTCAGTTCGATAGAGTGCACAGGGTCTCAGGTCGTCGAGTATCGTCTGGCACTCCGAATTCCAAGCCACGACCGATTATTGTCAAGCTTTCCAGCTTCCATGACAAAGAGTTTATTAAATCTTTCATCAAAAACCTTACGAAAGGCCGCAATCTTGGAATTTCCGACGACTTTCCAAAGGAGGTAGAAGAAATGAGGAAAAAGCTGTACCCAGTACTAAAAGCCGCCAACCAAGAAAAGCGTACTGCATTTTTCAAGGTAGAAAGGCTAATTATAGATGGATCGCTTTACCGCGGCCCAGAGACAATTGCATTCCCTCACTACGGACATTTAATGGATGTATAAATTAGCTCAGAACTTTTATGTTTTTATTCACGGCCATATTTTAGGGGCCAGTAGTGTGCTTTACAAACAAAATTAGCTTGATGCGCAGTCAGTCAACGCTGCTCAAATTCAGAGGTAAGTCATGGAGTTTTTGTGCGTACGTTTCGTGTTTTTGTTTTTGTTCTTGTTTCATCTTAATTTTTGCGCAGCCAATTTTGTTTCCCTTCCCTAAAGAGGAAAGCGATCCAGGCCATATAAATATATACTTTTGTCTATGGATTGTGCCACACGGGCAAGGAAAACTACTTCATTTTATAATTGAGCGATAATTATGTCACATAAGCTTTTGACACTAAACGTAAGAGGGCTAAACAGTTCTAGAAGAAGAAGACAGGTTTTTCGATGGTTGCACCTGAAACGATCGGACATTATTTTCCTCCAAGAAACTTACGGGTATTCTTCAATGGAAACTATAAAACGATAGGAAGCCGAGTGGAGTGGGGAAGTTGTAGCTAGCCACGGTACAACTCACAGTAAAGGAGTAATGGTCCTGTTTAAACCAAATCTCAATGTCACTATTAACAAAACCTTAGCCGATAAAAATGAAAGATACATCCTCGCAGAAAAATCAATTGATGAAACAAACATATAGTCTTTGTGAATATTTATGCACCAAATAATCCTTCTCAACAAATCCTTTTCATAAGGGATCTGTCCAGCTCTGTGTTATCGGCACATGCAAAGGAAAACCTTGTGTTAGGTGGCAATTTTAACTGTGTTATGAATGCCATGGACAAGAAAGGTGGCAGGCCTTTTAACTCAAAAAATGCAGCAGTAACTGAGTTTGAGTCGGCAATTAGGGCTCACAGCGTTGTGGATGCATGGCGCATAGTAAACTTGCACAATATCGGTTTCACTTGGAGCAACCCGTCGATGAAGATACAAAGCAGACTTGACTATTTTTTCATCCCAAAATTTTTGCAAAAGTTAATTCAAGAATGCAGAATAATGCCCAACATCTTCTCAGATCATTCTGCTTTAATTCTCACCATCTGTTTTAATGAAGAAACTGCGCCTTGCGGTCCAGGCTATTGGAGGTTTAATTCTTTGTTATCTGACAATGAAAACGTAGCTTTATTACGCTCTAAAATTCCAGAATTCGTTGAAAAGTACAAAGAGGTCGAAGACACAGGTCTGTTTTGGGAAATGGTCAAGATGGAGATCACAGGCTTGACAGTTCGATTTTCTAAATTGAAAGCAAAGCGTAACCGCGATGAAGAGAAACTCCTTACATCTAGGTTTGCTCAACTGAGCGCTAAACTTCAGACAGACTTGAGCGAGTCAAAATCAAACTTTCTGATATTCAATCTGAAAAAACACGAAGTGCTATTATAAGAAGCAGAGCACGCTGGTATGAGCATGGAGAAAAAAACAGCAAATATTTTCTTAATTTAGAAAAATTAAACTACCAGCAAAAACATATATCATCTTTGATTAACCACAGCGGCACTAGGATTAATGATCCAAAAGAAATTCTTAATGAAGAGTGGAACTTCTTTAAAGAATTGTACTCCTCTAGGAATGTGGAGGAGTTCAGTAATTTTTTAATGTAGATTTTCAACTACCTGAAGAGATGGCCAGCACTTGTGAAGGAGAGATAACTTTGGCTGAATGCACAAAAACAGTATCAATGATGCAAAATAACAAATCTCCTGGCTCTGAC